TTTTAAATCCCTCCCGGCTTCTTTCTCAAAGTGTGCGACAGATGGAATTGGGAATTGGGATCTTGCAACCTTTTTTTTTTTTTNTTAATAGAAAAACAAGTCGTAATTATTATTTATTTTAATTTTATAGTTTTGAAATTAGACGTAATATTATTTGTTATTGTTTTTTGCTTTCTGAACACGCGCAATTCGTGAGGTTATAAGATGACGAGTATTTTATTTTTGGGCCCTCTATTATAATTCTTGTTCACTAAATATTACGTCTAATTTTCAAGAAATGCTCATATGTGTATAGCTTAACAAGCAATAGTTGTCGGTGATCTAGTGGTAACAACAATAATTGTTGGTGGTTTAGTTTAGGTGCGGTGGTCTAGTGGTAATACAAAAGAGTTGGTTCTTTTGTGTCCCAGATTCAAACTTTACAAAAAATGTTATTTTTTTAATCGGAATATGTAAAAACTGATTCCGGATATCGAAGAGATTATGAGCCAATAGTTCAAAATTCTTACAGTTTATTAAAAAAAAAAAATAGTTGTCGGGAAGAAAAACAAACGTATTATTCAAAATTTTAAAAAGTATTCTTTCACTAATATTTTGTACATCTAATTTCAAGGTACAACGTATAATCTCAAAGTTGAAATTATAATTTAATTAAATTACAGTTATAAAGTTTTTTTGTGACACTTAGCGTTTACGATAAGGATCCATTAGAAGGCTGCATTAACTTTAAAACCAAAGTAGTAGCAGCATGATGATCAAATGTGAGCGATAATGATCATGTCCCCTTAAGAGTTAACGATAAGCTTTCTCTCTTTTTTTTTTAATTTATTACTAGTATGAAGTAAAAAGTTTATCTATATTCAGAAAGTTAATTTACTTTCTTTCTCGAAAATGGTAAAATTATAGCAGCACCAAAATAATTAATAACGCGAATATAACACAATCTCCAAAAAATTTAATCATGTTATTATATGGGTCTTTTCGTTTTGTATTGCCTAGGTTCTTTCTTATCTCCAATTTGTCTTCCCAACCCAAAGTCATTTGACAACGATCTTTTTTTTTGTCCCGTTCGTTTAATATTCTAGGATACTTTTCTACGTCAATTTATGCGTTTTTGAGAACGATTGTCGCAATTTGTATCCAAATATTTCAAATAAAGTTTCATGCTTTCCCTTATCTAAGACTATATATTAATATCATGTTCAAACTTTAAAATTATGTAACTACGTGTTAGGTCAATCATACTATATGCATAATGATATGTTTATCCTAAATTTTAATTAGTCGGTATATATTGTATTTGTATGCTTCTACTCTTTTTTCTACCCTCAATTCTACTCTCTTTCCCATTCACGTTTTTTAGTTATTTGTTAGTGAAAGTATTTACTAGAACTGATTTATGGGTTAATTTATGGACTAACTATATTGAGCTTTCAAATTAAACTTATAGCTATCATATTTCTCAAATGTATCAAGTAACCATTTTTGCACTATTTGGCAAAGAGAAAAGACAATACGATCCCCTTTGCTCTTCAAACTCACTTTCTCTTTCATATGTAGAGAAAGAGAAAATTATACTCTCCTTTCATCATTTCTTGATTCAATTTTTATGTATAAGATGATTCAATCTCCTGATATTAATTACTAAAAGAAAATCTAATTTTTTTTTATATACTATGGTTTAAAATTTTAAAAACGAACTAATATTTATCGTTAAACGGTTATATGATTATAGATGAATGTGTCATTCTATATTATAGACATAGTTTCTATATAAAACACATCTATTCTATATAGAACAAATAGTTTTGTGGATTATAATTTATAATGGATACCTTAGTTTTGTGGATTATAATTTATAGTTTTATATTTAGTTTTAGGAATTACAAGTTTTAGGGGTTAGAATTCAAAAGTTCGAATTAGGATGTAAATCTATATTATTTTTTTAAGTTAAAAACAATTTATATTACTAAATAGGACAAATAACATTATATCTCTATAATATTAAAGCAGAAGTACATTTAGGAATATGTCCAAAATTCATTCTAATATTACTCAAATTACCATTGCTTTTAAACTAAAAAAATTCAATTGAAAAGGGTAATTTTGTACATATGCAGTGGCAATTTCAGTAATTATCAGATCAATTTCAGATATTTTTAGGACTCGATCCAGACAAAAATGCGCGGATCCGCGCGACGCGCATGGCTGACCCGAAATCATTAATGGCATTTGTGTAAATATTGAACCCAAAAAAAATCTTGCGCAGACCTAACTAATTCTTCTTTGAGAGAGAGAGAATTTCATCTCTCACACGATCTCTCTCTCT